GACGACGACGACGACGACGACGACGACGACGACGACGACGACGACGACGACGACGACGACGACGACGACGACGACGACGACGACGACGACGACGACGACGACGACGACGACGACGACGACGACGACGACTACGACTACTCTCTACGATGACGACGCACGGGGAACAGAGGGGTGAGAGCGCCCTGTGGGGGCGCGCCGCGGCTTGGGCCAGAGCGGCGACCCTTCTCCAAGGGGGCGATACTGGGCACGGGGGGCACCCGTTCAAATTAGACAGCGGCCTGCCAGCAGTAGCCCAACAGAGAGGTCTTATCCCCCGATGGCCTCAGGGGCCCACGGAAGCTCTGACACACGCCAGGACCTTCAAAGATCGAGTGTGCCCCAGGATTTCTTCTAGCAGAGTTTCTTACCGTATGTGGCTGCTGCTGTTCCCGCGCTGTCGCGCTGGGCGGGCACGGGTCTGGACGACTCGAGCGAGCCGTTCATCGCTCTGCAGCCCCCGCGATTGGCCCCGCGATGGCCACAGGCGGAGCCCAGAGACGTCTCCGACAAGGGCATAGCTCGGCCAAGGTACCAGCCGACGCCCTCGCTCCAGGGGCTGAGGGGATCCCGAGGCAGGCCCAGGCGAGGCCAAAGGACCAGAGGACCAGAGGCGAGGCGCATCGCCCTCTGCGCCTCCCCGCGTTACCGCCGCCGTCCGCCGCACCCCAGGCCCGCCGGGGCGGGCAACGGCGCCGTTGCGGCCAGGGCGGGCGCGGCCGGCTGCAGCTCGATAGGAGCGCGCCTTTGCCGCCGGGCGGCCTCGCGCCGAGCGTCGTCGTCGTCGCCGTCGCCGTCGCCGTCGCCGTCGCCGTCGCCGCCGCCGCTGCTTCCGTTGCCGCCGCCGCCGCCACCACCGCGGCCTCCACGGCCGCCGTCGTTGTTGTTATCGTTGTCGTTGTCGTTGTCGTCGTCGTCGTCGTCGTCGTCGTCGTCGTCGTCGTCGTCGTTTTCGTTATCGTCCTTGTCGTCGCCTTCGCCGTGTCTGTGCACGACGACGGGGAGAGCCGACGCGCCACGTAAGTTCCTCGCGACAGCTGCGCGCAAGCGTGTGCCACATGAGGAGGAGAAGAGGAAGGACAGGAGGGGCGCAAAGAGGAAAATGATCGGGGAGGGTGTGCGCGCGGAGGGGGGGATGGAGGAGGAGGCGGAGGAGGAGGCGGAGGAGGAGGAGGAGGAGGAGGAGGAGGAGGAGGAGGAGGGAGCGAGATCGGGAGCGATGAGCGACCCAGGAGGAGGAGGAGGAGGAGGAGGAGGAGGAGGAGGAGGAGGAGGAGGAACGAGGAGCGAGGACGAGGAACATCAGCAGCACAGGAGTAGGAGGAGGAGGAGTGCCTAGAGTTGATGAAGGAGGGAGGGAGGAGTAGCCGGAGGAATAGGAAACGAGGAGGAGGAGGCGGAGGACGGTGAGGAGGAGGAGAGGAGGAGGAGGAGGAGGGGAGGAGAGGAGGAGAGGGAGAGGAGGAGAGAGGAGTAAGAGGACGCGGAGGAGGCAGAGGAGGAGGAGGAGGATGAGGAGGATGAGGAGGAGGAAGGAGAATCGACAAGGAGAAGGATAAGGATATGATGAGGAGGAGGAGGAGTAGGAGGAGGAAGAGGAGGAAGAGGAGGAAGAGGAGGAGGAGGAATAAGACGAGGAGGAGGAGGAGGAAGAGGAGGAGGATGATGAGGAGGAGGATGATGAGGATGAGGAAGATGAGGAGGAGTAGGAGGAGGAGGAGGAGGAGGTGGCGAGGAGGAGGAGAAGGAGGAGGAGGAGGAGGAGGACGAGGGGTGAGGGGTGAGGAGGACCTCCTCCCCACCCTCCAGCCCTCCCTTCCCCCTCCCGCCCGCTCCGCGCACTTGTTTGCCTTCTCTGCGCGCCTTCTCCGCCCTGCGCGCGCCTTCTGTGCCTGCAGGGGCCGCCAGGGGCTCGCCCGTGAAGGCCTCCCCCCTCGGCAGCGCCGCGGCCGCGGCGCGCCTGGTGGCGAGGCCGCCGCCGCCGCCCGCGGGGGGGCCACGCGGCCCCCCCTCCCCCGTGGAGATTGAGAAGGGAGGGACGACGACGAGGACGACGACGGCGGCGACAATGACGACGATGACGACGACCTCCCCCGCGGAGGTGGACGGGGGAGGGCTCCTCTCGCCATGCGTAAGATTGTGGAATGGTGACCCTTCGCCAGAGTGGTCTCAGGTGCGGGCCCACAAGGGGTCCCCCTGGCAGTGGCTTGCGCGCGTGGATCTAGCCGCCCGCCGCGGCCCCTTCAGGCCGCGCTCCAAAAGGTCACCCTTGTATACGGTCACTCTTGCGTGTAGGCGATGTCTTCCTCCTCTTGGTCCTCCTTCTCCTCCTCCTCCTCCGCATGCGTCCGCCACACCCAGCTCCACCGAAGGCCCCAGTGGGGGTGCCCGCATGTGTCCGCCACACCCAGTGCAGCGCTTCTTGGCCCCATAGGGAGCTCCACCGGAGGCCTCATTGGGGGTGACCGCATGCGTTTGTCATACCCAGTACAGCGTTTCGTGACCCCATAGGGAGCTCCACCGAAGGCCCCAATGGGGATGCCCGCATGCGTCCGCCACACCCAATGCAGCGCTTCGTGACCCCATAGGGAGCTCCACCGGAGGCCTCACAGGGGGTGGCCGCATGCGTCCGCCACACCCAGTGCCGCGTTTCGTTGCCCCATAGGGAACTCCACCGACCGCATGCTTCCGCCACACCCAGTGCAGCGTTTCGTTGCCCTACAGGGCGCTACACCGAAGGCCCCAGTGGGGGTGCCCGCATGTGTCCGCCACACCCAGTACAGCGCTTCGTGACCCCATAGGGAGCTCCACCGAAGGCCCCAGTGGGGATAGCCGCATGCGTCCGCCACACCAACTACAGCGTTTTGTGGTCCCATGGGAAGCTCCACCGGAAGCCCCCCCCGCCACACCTAGTACAGCGCTTCGTGGCCCCATAGGGAGCTCCACCGAAGGCTCCAGTGAGGGTGGCCACGAGCGTCCGCTGCACCAACTGCCGCTTTTCGTGGCCCCATAGTGACGTGCACCGAAGACCCCAGTGTGTGTGGCCACATGTGTCCGCCACACCCAGTACAGTATTTCATGGCTCCATAGGAGCTCCACCGAAGGCCAAAGTGGGGGTGGCCACATGCGTCTGCCACACCGATTTCGGCGCAACCCTCACACGTTTCGTGGCTCTATAGGAAGCTGCACCGAAGGCCCCACATGCGTCCGCCCGACCCATGTCGGCACACCCTTCCCACGTTGTGTGCCCCCATAGGGGGCTCCGCCCAAGGCCCCAGCGGCGACTTTCGCATCCGTCCGACCGATCCATGACGGCACACCCCTCACGCGTTCCGTGGCCCCATAGGGAGCTCCACCGAAGGCCCCAGCGGCGACGTTCGCATGCGCCCCCCCCTCCCCCGCCCACTTTGGCACACCCCTTACACGCCTCGTGGCCCATTGGGCGCCCACCGAAAGTTCGCATTCGTCCCACCCATTCGTTATCCCCCCCTGCCCGCACTGCCCCGCGCCTCGTTCTTCCTGCGGCGCGCTGTCTATGAGAGCAGAGGGTACACCGCGTGCGCTATTCGAAATTGGGGTGCTCCCCTCCTTTGTCTCATCTCCCTCGCGGCTGCGTATGGTTGGTCATTCGTCAGGCTAGTTCATTCGCCATTCGTATTGCATTATGATTTCATATGTGTTGTGTCAAAACAGGTGCCGAACCCGAAACCGACCCCGAACACTTTACCCTTTACACTTCACTTGAATACTGCAAGAGGTAACGTTCAACCCTCGTAGTAGTTGTAGTAGTAGTGGTAGTGGTAGTGGTAGTGGTAGTGGGCGTAGTAGTAGTGGCAGTATTAGCAGCAGTCGTAGCAGTAGTAGTAGTAGTAGTAGTAGTAGTAGTAGTAGTAGTAGTAGTAGTAGTAGTAGCAGTAGCAGTAGCAGTAGCAGTAGTAGTAGTAGTAGTAGTAGTAGCAGCAGTAGTAGTAGTGGTAGTAGTAGTAGTAGTAGTAGCAGTAGTGGTAGCAGTAGTAGCAGCAGTAGTAGTAGCAATAGTAGAAGTAGTAGTAGTAGTAGTAGTAGTAGTAGTAGTAGTAGTCGTAGTAGTAGTAGTACTAGTAGTAGTAGTAGTAGTAGTAGTAGCAGTAGCAGTAGTAGTAGTAGTATAGAGTAGTCAGTAGTAGTCCTAGTAGTGTAGTATTAGAGTTTAGTAGTAGTTAGTAGTAGTAGTCGTAGTAGTAGTAAAAGTAGGAGGCAGTAGTCTCAGTAGTAAGTACAGTAGTTGTAGTCGTAGTAGTAGTAGTAGTAGTCGTATAGTAGCTAGTATTAGTATAGTAGCAGTAGTAGTAAGTATTAGTAGTAGTAGTAGGAGTAAGTAGGGTAGGAGTAAGTAGTATGGAAGTAGTAGTAGTAGTAGTAGTAGGTAGAGGTAGTAGTAGTAGTAGTAGTAGTAGTAGTACTAGTAGTAGTAGTAGTAGTAGTAGTGGTAGTAGTGGTCGTAGTAGTGGTAGTAGTGGTAGTAGTAGTAGTAGTAGTAGTAGTAGTAGTAGTAGTAGTAGTAGTAGTAGTAGTAGTAGTATCGGTCGTAGTAGTAGTCGTACTAGTAGTACTAGTAGTACTCGTAGTAGTAGTAGTAGTAGTAGTCGTCGTAGTAGGGGTCTTAGCACCAACAGCAGTAGTAGTTGCAACATTAGTAGTGGTAGTAGTAGTAGTAGTAGGAGGAGGAGGAGGAGGAGGGGGAGGAGGTGGAATAGTAATAGTAGCAGTCGTCATAGTAACAGTAAAAATAGTAATATGAGTAGTAGTAGTACTACTACTAGCAGTAGTAGTGATGGTATTAGTAGTAGTAGTAGTGGTAGTAGTAGTAGTAGTAGTAGTAGTAGTTATGGTGGTAGTCGTAGTAGCAGTTGTAGTAGTAGTAGTCGTAGTCGTAGCAGTAGTAGTAGTAGCAGTAGTAGTAGTAGTAGTAGTAGTAGGAGTAGTAGTAGTAGTCGTAGCAGCAGCAGTAGTAGTAGTAGTAGTAGTAGTAATAGTAGCAGTACTGGTAGAAGGAGTAGGTTCCATAGGTATGTAGTACTATCGCCGTAGTAGGGGTAGTCGTAGTCGTAGTATTAGTCGTAGTCGTAGTCGTAGTCGTAGTCGTAGTGCTAGTAGTCGTAGTAGTAGCAGTAGTCGTAGTAGTAGTAGTAGTAGCCGTAGTAGTTTCGCTGTAGTAGCAGTAGTAGTGGTAGTAGTAGTAGTAGTAGTAGTAGTAGTAGTAGTAGTAGTAGTAGTCGTAGTAGTAGTAGTAGTAGTAGTATAGTGTAGTATAGTAGTAGTAGTAGTGGTGGGTAGTGTAGTATTAGTAGTAGTAGTAGTAAGCAGTAGTAATGGTCGTAGTAGTAGTGGTAGTAGTAGTAGTAGTAGTAGCAGTAGTAGCAGTAGTAGTAGTAGTAGTAGTAGTAGTAGTAGTAGTAGTAGTCGTATAGTAGTAGTAGTAGTAGTAGTCGTGGTAGTAGTAGTAGTAGTAGTAGTAGTAGTAGTAGTAGTAGCAGTAGTGGTACTAGCAGTAGTAATAGTAGCACTAGTAGTGGTAGAAGTAGTAGCTGCAGTAGTAGTAGTAGTAGTAGTAGTAGTAGTGGAAGTAGCCAACGTAGTAGTAGTAGTAGTAGTAGTAGTAGTAGTAGTAGTAGTAGTAGCCCTACTAGTAGTAGTAGTAGCAGTAGTCGTAGTAGTAGTAGTAGTAGTAGTAGTTGTTGTTATAGTTTTAGTAGTAGTTGTAGTAGTACTAGTAGTAGCAGTAGTAGTAGTAGTAGTAGTAGTAGTCGTAGTCAACGTAGTAGTAATAGTAGTAGTAGTAGCAGTAGTAATCGCAGTAGTTGTAGTCGTACTAGTAGTACTAGTAGTAGTAGTAGTAGTAGTAGTAGTAGTAGTAGTAGTAGTAGTGGTAGAAGTAGTAGCAGAAGTACTCGTAGTAGTAGTCGCGTTCGTGGTAGTAGTCGTAGCCGTAGTAGAAGTAGCTGTAGTTATAGTGTAGTCCTAGGAGTCGTAGTAGTAGTCATAGTAGTAGTAGTAGTAGTAGTAGTAGTAGTAGTAGTAGACGGAGTAGTAGCAATTGTAGTAGTAGTAGTAGTGGTGGTGGTGGTAGCCGTGGTACTGGTAGTAGTAATAGTAGTAGTTGTCGTCGTAATAGTAATGGTCGTAAGAGCAGTGGTAGTAGCCGTAATAGTAGTAGTAGCCGCACTAGTAATGGTAATAGTAGTAGTGGTAGCCGTAATAGTAGCGGTCGTAGTTGTAGTAGTAGAAGTAGTAGTAGTAGTAGTGGTAGTAGTAGTCTTAGTAGGAATAGTTTTCGTAGTAGTAGTAGTAGTAGTAGTAGTAGTAGTAGTGGTAGTCGTCGTAGTAGTAGTAGTAGTAGTAGTAGTAGTAGTAGTAGTAGTAGTAGTAGTAGTAGTAGTCGTGGTAGCGGTAATAGTCATGTTTGTGGTGGCTTATTCGTAGTAACAGCAGTAGAAGTCTTAGTATCAGTAGTTGTTGTATTAGTATCCGAATGTTGTATGAGGAGTGGTAGTATTAGTAGCCGTAGTAGTAGTGGTAGTAGTAGTAGTAGTAGTAGTAGTAGTAGTAGTAGTAGTAGTAGTCGTAGTAGCAGGCGTAACCGCAACAGTTTTAGTCGTAGTAGTAGTGGTAGTCGTAATGGGAGTAGTCGTAGTCGTAACAATAGTAGTCGTAGTAGTAGCAGTAGTAGTAGTAGCAGCAGTAGTAGTAGTAGTAGTAGTAGTAGCCGTAGTAGTAGTAGCAGTAGGAGTAGTGATAGTAGTAGTAGCAGCAGTAGTGGTAATATTATTATTATTGGTGGTAGTAGTCGTAGTAGTAGTAGTAGTCATAATAGTGTTTCCAGCAGTCGTAGTAGTAGTAGTAGTAGTAGTAGTAGTAGTAGTAGTAGTAGCAGTAGCAGCAATAGTAGTAGTAGTCGTAGTAGTAGTAGTAGTAGTAGTAGTAGTAGTAGT